CAAAACGTCTCTTCAGATTTACCTAAGGGGTTCCGGAATTCGTTCATCTCAAGGCCTTTGAACGAGCTGTTGGAACAGCGCTTTCACATGCTTCTAAAGTACCGCTACGGGGGTATGCCATGGCACGGCGCTGAATCATTCTACAACGATCAAGTGCTTCATGCGTCACACTCGGATCACGATGCCTCGCACGACAAGTACTACGACGACGAGCGTGCCGGCAATACATGGCCGAAGATTGTGACCGATGATCACATTACATCTTCAGATGGTCAAGAACACTCTCTTCCTCTTGTGGGAATGCAGTTCGTGCTACGGCACTTTGTTCGATGTACCGAATTCTGTCTGATCTGTTTCAGTAGAATGCCCGACGACCTGCAAGCTATCAAGCCCTATGTCTGTGACAATCCGCTGTGTTTGTACCAGTACATGTCACTAGGCTTCGGTCCGAGTATCGAGCATGAGATCGTCTCACAACCTAAAGTCGTTGACCTCCTAATCAGCTTCTGCTACGCTAGTGCGCGCGCCAGTAGACTGAGGGACTTTCCAACCGGTCTCAGTTTGGCAGTTCCACCTCCGATAACGAATGAGAAGGATTACATACCTATCAGTACCCGCTATCATTATGCCACACAAGACCCCGCACAACAGCCTCCGCAAGCCGACAGTACACCTCCAGTAGCTGCATTGAGTGTGCGATACAACGCGGCCAATCTCGAAATGCTGTTTGAGAACGCGAGGGAAGCTTGTCCTATATCAAAAGGCCAATGGCTCGTTATGCGGACAGATGATGAGCCGACCAAAGCTCTGCATTGCCGCGTGGTAGATGCATCTCTGTATCCATCAGTCAAGGTTTCAAATCCAGTCATCCCGTCCATCGAGGGACCGACGGATGCATACGGCATGGCACAGCCAACTCCATCAAAACCGAAGGTGTCAGCCCCACGGCCAATCCCAGAGAACGAGTTCAAGTCCGCAAGCTTCTACATCTACAACACCAACTTCGACGACTTGGCCGACGTGGAGAAGCCGCGAGTCATTGCATCACTTCTCGATCTCCTACCGCCTGTCCAAGAAATGAGGAAGTACCTTTTGCGGAAATCACAGTCTTCTCTAAGCGCTTGGGTTGACCGTCTTTCCCCTGCCGTCCTTGGAATACTGCGTTGGGTCATCGCTTCGAATCGAGCTTGCATCCTGCAGGTCGATAACGAAGAGGATGCTTCTAACGGCCGCAAATCGGAGGAGCGTCTGTATGGCATGGCGGGCTGGGCGCAGTTTCGGTTCGCAATGGGTGCTCCTGATAAAGAGCGAATGTTCATCCAGGCAGTACGAGACACTACTAACCGCCTCAGCCTCAAATTCCCAACTTTGTTCGCGTGGCATGGCAGCCCTATCCACAACTGGCACACCATCATCCGAGAGGGTCTTCACTTCAAGGAGACCGCTCACGGACGCGCTTTCGGAAATGGCGTTTACCACGCTCCTGATGTCAATACTAGCTTGGGCTATTCTTCGATGTCCTACGGCGCGGCTTGGTCAATGAGCGAGCTGAAGGTTCAACAGACCCTGGCTCTAAACGAGATTGTCAACGCTCCGCAGGAATTTGTGAGCCAGACTCCGCATCTGGTCGTTGCTCAGCTTGATTGGATCCAGACCCGCTACCTCTTTATAAAGACACGCGCGGATAACGTAACAGCCATAGATCCGGGTAGCAAGCCACTTCTTTGCGTTGATCAGGATCCGATCCGCACGCCTCGTGGCGTGACAGGCGACCTCGTTATTCCGATCCACGCTATTGCTGCTTCTCGGCGTCCCAAGGCGAAGTCCACTGGAGTGAGTTGTGCCCCACATGCTACTGCGCACTTGCTGACAGACATACAGGGTCACAAGCGGCAGAAGGCTTCTGGGAAGACACAGTACGATCCCATCGAGATTGACGATGATGACGACGCCGCCAGTGTCGCAACCCTTGAAGAAGATCGCGTCATCTTCGACGGTGAAGATGAGCACAAGTCTTTCCAAGAGACTGACCCTCTTCCCACGCCAAACTCAATCAGCGACAAGGGTAAGTCAAAGGTGGCGGCCTCGATCGCGTCGTTTTCGTCCAAGATCTTTGGCAAGTCATCATCCAGTGAACCTCTGACCGATTACGAGCCTGGAAAGCTTGACTACGATAAGCTTCCTAAACTTCAAGAACCTGCATGGGCGACAACTGCTGCTACCAGGCGCCTTATGAGGGACTTCAAGGACCTCGTCAAGATCCAGAACAAGGAACCGATGCATGAGCTAGGTTGGCACATTGACGAGGAGAAGACTGAGAACATCTACCAGTGGATCGTAGAATTGCACTCATTCGACCCCACTCTGCCACTTGCAAAAGACATGAAGTCAAAGAAAGTCAAGAGCGTCGTACTGGAGCTACGATTTGGCAAAGACTATCCCATGAGCCCACCATTCGTCCGTGTCATCCGACCTCGCTTCCTACCCTTCACCATGGGTGGAGGAGGTCACGTCACCGGTGGTGGTGCTATGTGCATGGAGCTTCTCACCAACGATGGCTGGAGCGCTGTTTCTTCCATCGAATCTATTCTTCTCCAAGTACGCATGGCCATCTCCAGTCTGGATCCCAAGCCTGCTCGTCTACAAGCAGGCCCTCCTGGAGACTACGGTGTCATGGAGGCGGTCGACGCGTATATACGTGCGTGCCAGGTACATGGATGGACTGTTCCCGCTGGCTTCAAGGAGACGGCTTATGGTGGTGCGGAGAACGCGTCTGCCATGTACTAGGAGATGGGGCTGAGCGCATCTCTCCGTTGACCACTCCATACTGGGCAAGATTGAACACCGACTTACAGCGGATAACGGATGAGAATAACCCAGGAGTGTGCATTGCGTCAAGGACCCGCCAACGTTCGTTTATGTTGCCAATGCAGACTGCAAGGGTTTGGGCCTATTCCTTTCAGCGGGGTTCGATCGTCGGGCAACACATGTGGAGTTCACGCGACACGGCGCGATACACGATGCTATGTGATCGCAATGAATTGAGATTGGTTTCATGTTCTTTAGAGGAGTTTCGGTGCATAGCATGGATCACGGAGAACGGCATACGATACCTTGTGGAGTTTCCTTTTCGCGGGTTCTACGCATAGTGGAAAAGTAGCAATCGAACACTTCATCACGGTTTCTTACAGGATGTGATGTGATGTGGTATCGTGAAATGATCGGAATGACATATCTTCCAGGCTCGTCTTTGCCACGTATTGTGGAATTATTCACTGAAGTTCATGTCAACATAGACATGAGCCCAAACCGCACGATCCCATCCAGAATAAACCCTAGCGCCCAGTAGTATAGTTCAGAACAGAAAGCTTTTGTGATGTTGGGTATCGTTGACGTCAAAAAGAAAATACGGAAGACCACAAGTCTCTGCGACACTACATAGACTCGATCCAACTCCCCACAAGCCAAACACTCGCACAACCCACCAAAGCTGCAGCCCCATACGCTTGCTTCGTCCACCCTTGCTCTTCATCCACCTTCCAAGCCCCCTCTGTACGCGCTCGGTGCGGTACCTCTTCCGCACTCACATTCCCCACACTCTGATCATGACTCTTCGCCAGCTTAACCTCCCCTCCTGCCTCCCTCACCCAGCCCGTCTCATTCCGCCCCTCAACCTCCACATTCTGCACATTCCCAAAAAAATCCATAACCCTCCTCTCCCTCGCCTTTCCTTCCCCCCCTGCAAAAAGATCATACCGTATCCCCGGATGACTATGTATCTTCTCCTCGTCATAAGAATCAAACAAATCGCCCATTGTAAGTTTTGAGGTGGGGTCTTTAACCTGGTTTTCCAGAAACTCCAAGTTGTAGTATGTGTAGCGGTCGATGACGGCGACGCCGACGTCGTTGTCGGCGTGGTGGGAGTAGGAGGATTGGTCGATTTCCGAGGAGCCGGTCGCGAGGATGTTGGGGGTGTAGAATTTGGAGTACATGGTGTTGGCTTGGCAGGTGTCTATCATGAAGAGGATTTCGTGGTAGCTGGGCGTGGGAGTTAGTAGGGTGTTGTAGAGGGAGAGGGAGAGGGGCGTGGTGGTGGTGATGGTGAAGGGGGTGGACGTACCGTTTCTTCTCCCACATCTGTCCGAATGCATCGGCGAGGTCGAAAGCGCTAATCTCCTCTGCGTCTTGGAACTTGAGGAATTCGTTTCCGCCATGCCCGGTCATGTACACGAGGATGTTGCTCCGTTCGTCCGTCATCAACCTCTTGCTTCGCGGCATGTCCTCGCCCACTCTGTCCGTCATCAACCTGATGAAGTTCTCGACCGTGACTTCATAGCCCCTGTAGTCCACCTCGATGTTGTCGCCGTAGAGATCTAGGGCTCGGTCGGCGTTGTTATAGACGGTTCCGGGGAAGGCGTTGCGCGGGTTGCACGCCATGTCGTCGGGCAGCATGAGGATGATTTGCGAATCGGGGATCCCGAGACGCTTGACGGTACGGTAGAGCGAGAGGACATTGGCGAGGTGGCGGTAGTTGAACCAGAAGCGTGATGTTGAGACGAGGACCGCCCAGTTGGATGTGTGTTCGCTGGCGACGAAGGGAGCTGCCAGTAAAGGCAGGAGGGCGGCGGAGAACTTCATCGCGAAGACTGTATCAATTGTAGATCGGCGGGCAGGCTCGAATAGCTATTGACGTCGTATTGCGGACCCGCGACGCGCCCCTGTCTAGCAGTTCGCGATGCACGTTGGAGTGTTGGCGCAATCTGACAAATCGGAGATAAGCACTTCACTCCGCCAATAACAGCCGGCTGTCACGTGTGGATCCGCGCACGCTAGCAGATCGCCTTGCATCATCGCGTGCACATGCCCAAGCACGCCATACCCTGTCAAGACTCCGTTATCTTTCCCATCAGCGTCCTTCTGACCTCTTTCTTTTCCTTCCCGAATGCGCCTTCCTCGTCTTCACGCTGGCTGAGTCGATTCAGCTCCAGGATATCTCGAGGATGGCTCCAGACCGGGGATCCGCATCGCTGGAAAACGAAAGAGATGGGCTTGGTGAAGAGGTGGATGGTCATGCTCTCGGTCGCAGTACGACGGGTGCCCGCAGGTACCTGGCTGAGCAGGCAGATCAGCCGCAAAACTTCACGCTGAGGGGTGTTTTGGTGGGCTTGGCGATTGGTGTTGTGATATGTTTTTCCAACATGTACTTTGGGCTGCAGACGGGTTGGGTTTCTGGCATGGCGATGCCTTCTGCTCTGATTGGATTCGCGTACTTCAAGGTCGTTGCTAGGACGCTCAAGTTGCCGTTCACGCCCGTGGAGAATGTTTTGGTTCAATCAGTCGCTGGATCGGTCGGCACCATGCCTCTCGGATGTGGATTTGTTGGCGTGATTCCTGCGCTGAACTATCTGTTGACGCCTGAAGAGAATGGACCACTGGACATCAGTTTGTGGAAACTGATCGTGTGGTCTGTTGGCATCTGCTTCTTTGGAGTAGTGTTTGCAGTGCCTCTGCGGAAAGAGATGATCATCAGAGAGAAGCTGAAGTTCCCTAGCGGTACTGCGACTGCGCTACTAATTAGAGTGCTGCACGGAGATGAGAAATCAAAGACGATGATGGCACGCGAAGGAAACCAGGACAGAGACGATCCATCCAACGATGGAGAGACACAAGGACTGTTGCAAGGTTCAAGCGCGCAGCGAGAAGAGCATGACCTCAGGCCATCCATGGACGACAGCATGAAGGACCCAGATCAAGAGCTCGGAGAAGACGGAGACTGGAGATCGAAGATTAGGCTATTGCTGATCTCGTTCGGAGGATCCGCGCTATATACTGTCGTATCGTACTTCCTCCCGCAGCTTCACGATATACCCGTCTTCGGCCTTTCTTTGGCGCAGAACTGGCTCTGGACCTTGAATCCATCCCCTGCATACGTCGGTCAAGGTATCATCATGGGCCCTGCTACGACACTACACATGCTTCTTGGTGCTATCATAGGATGGGGCATTCTGTCGCCTCTCGCAAAGCACAAAGCGTGGGCACCAGGGCCAGTGTCGGACTGGACCAACGGCTCAAAAGGCTGGATTGTCTGGATCTCTCTCGCCATCATGTTAGCAGACTCTCTAGTCAGTTTGGGATGGCTTCTTCTACGCCCCGTCGTCACGATTGCCAGAGCTTACTACCCAACCGCGAAAGAGAACTTCCAGTCGCATACCTGGAAGGAGATCTTTACACTCAACATCACGTCCAAGCCACAGTATACCCAGCTCAGCGACGGCACATCCGTCAATCCCTTGGAAACAATCAAACAGCACTTAGCTGAAGGCAATGAGCCTGACGCGCCGCCGGAGCACCTCGTCTCAAACCGCACCACCATCATCGGCCTCATCGCATCCCTAGTCCTTTGCGTCATCGCAGTCCACGTCTCATTCCCCAACCTCATCCCCCTCCGTCTTACCCTACTATCACTCGTCCTCGCCCTCGTCCTATCCATCATGGGCGTCCGCGCCCTCGGCGAAACCGATCTCAACCCCGTCTCCGGCATCTCAAAGCTCACACAACTCGTCTTCGCGCTCGTCACTCCGACTACGGGTCCTGGCGCCAAAAACGCAGTCATCATCAACCTTGTCGCGGGCGCAATCTCCGAGTCCGCGGCCCTACAAGCAGGTGATCTGTTGCAGGACCTTAAATGCGGCCATCTCCTTGGCGCGGCGCCGAACGCGCAGTTCTGGGGTCAGATGATTGGGTCTGCGGTTGGTGCTGTGTTGTCTGCTGTTGTGTATAAGCTTTACACGAATGTTTACACGATTCCTGGTGGCCTGTTCGAGGTGCCGACGGGATATGTATGGGTCTTTACTGCGCGGTTAGTGACTGGGAAGGGTCTACCGCCCATGGTCAAGGAATGGGCTAGTGGGGCGGCTATCATCTTCGCCGTGGGTACGATGGTCAGAGTGTGGGGTAACAGCAGAAAGCAGAGGGGTCTCAGTGGGTGGTGGATTGACTTTGTGCCTGGTGGTATTGCTGTTGCTGTTGGTATGTTCATATCGCTCATTTACTGGTCACGTTGTGTGAACTAACTCTTCGCGTAGGCATGTATAACACGCCTTCTTTCACGTTGGCGCGTACAATTGGCGGCTTGCTCAGTCTGTGGTGGCGCCGCTGGAAGGGTCGGAGTGAGACGCCTATCATTGTGCTTGCGAGTGGGTTGATTCTCGGGGAAGGTCTGTTCAGTATTGTGAACTTGTTATTGGCGAGTCTCAAGGTACCTCATTTGTAGGGCGTGTCTTGATCAAATCGAAACGGCTGGCGTATGTTGTAGCCTAGTGTCCTTCAACATGTTCGGAATGACGAAGCGAGTGTGTTCCATGATCTTGATCTTTTTAGCTTTCCAGGATAATATGGACCCTGCACCGAGATTCTGCTGTACAGGCGCAGCAGTTGTTGCGAAGCAACTTGCAGTAAGCTCACGCCAGAAATACACAGAAACATTGCAATTACATCAGACGGAGAGATCGATTCAGCAAATGATTGAGATAGCAAGAGATAACATGTGCTTGTCCTAGCATTGCCCCAAGATCGCCTCACGTGCCATCACACCGCGACTTCTTTGGACATTGTATACGCGCACCTAGTTGACCCACTCGCCTGGCTTATCGCAGAACTTTGTATTCGTTCTCTTGGACTTGCAGTAACCGTCATAAAGCAAATTGTTCGGGATCTTAAACGTACTTGGAGCGTAAGCTTTCGTTTGCTTAACGGATTCTGATATGTCGCAGTAGTCATTAAGCCCAGGACAATCGCCCTGCTGGTCGCGCTTAGTAGCAGTGCATGATGGCAGACAGGCTTTGACATCTCTCAGTCCGCCGGGGCAAGCCAGCCTCATGTAATCACAATGGCAGCCTTTACTACAGGGCGCGTAAGGCTCACCAGCTTTCCTTTTGTTCTCGTCACGGCCGTCGAGAATCGCAAACGTTATGTTATCAGCGGTGGGCGGCGGCGAGAAGTCGTAGACTGCCAGTGCGGCTGGTCTGGCTGGTGGGGGCGATTTGGCCGATGTCTTATTGCGGGCCGTTGGGTACCCTGTGGAATCCTGAACACAAAGAGTCTGGTCAGCCCATGTTGCACGGGCGGTGTAGTCCCAAAGTTGAGTCATGTTGTAGATCGTCTCCAGCGTGTAGTATATACGACAATCGGCAGCTTGGTATTGGAATTGCAGGGGTGTGAATTCGGTGCCACGAACTTGATTCCTGATTGTGAAACCGGCGTAGTTGATCCACATTCCTGTATCCGTTCGGTCGGGCAGTTGCGAAACGACTTCGGGCTTTGAGACAGGCGAATCCTCTAGTCCTTCGTCAAAATCGAAGTCGAGGGCGTCAGTAGAGTATGCGGCAGCGCCACGAGTGCCGCCGACTGCTTGCATCGGGCCGGGCTTAGGCTGACCGCCAACGACGATGGTTTTGACTCCGGCTTCGTGGGTCATGAACTCGACAAACACAGCGCATGCAGAGGCACAGAGACCGTCAGTCAGGATGACAATTTGCTCAGGAGCCCAAGGTGGTGATGTATTGGTTATCGGGTCGCTTGGATCGTATCCGTATGGTAAGTCACCAAAGGCGGAATAGTCGAAATTTTCATCAGACAAATTGTATTGTTGACTCCTCGAGAACGTGTCGCCGTTGCCGATCTCTGGACCGTAAAACTCGTCCCAAGACGAGAAAGTTTTCCCAGTAGCGGCGTTGATGCGATTAGTGACGATCCACTCGCTGGACGCCCAATTGTAGGAATCCGTCTGGTCGCGGCCTGACCGGTCCCACCACTCGGTGTAGGCTTCACCGAGAGAATCGCTCAAATCATGGCTGCGTTGGCGGCTTGCACCATTGGGCTCGAGATTCGGAAAGAACTGCTTGAATGTATCGTAGGCGAGAAACACAAGACCTCCAGAGTTTTGTTGCAGATCGATAACGACACGGGAAGCCTGGCTTTGTGATGCGTTACCGATAAAGTCGCGAATCGCTTGGCGAAAGTTGGATGTATCAATACCATTTTGATAGAACGAAGGTATGCTCAGGATGGCGGTGGACGCTCCATCTAACATATAGCTAGATACGATACCTCCTCCTATGACAGAAAGATCGGCTTGGACGGTCATGGGATTATTCGGGTATGCGGCAAAGCTGTCCATGCACCAATTTTGGCTCGATGGAGCTCCTGCCATACAATACTTTTCCAGTTCCGCTGTGAAGTTGAAAGTACTGACGCTGTCGTCCGTTGAAGAGAGAAACTTGTCTTCGAGGGTTGGCCACCACTCTTCGCCTTCACGATAGCTTTCTGGCAGGAATCCGAGAACAAAGTAGTTGTAAAAATCGCCACCAGTGGTAAGAGGTCCTGTTTCCTTACAGTCGACGCAAACGGCCCACCAAATGGTCTCGACCACAGTGGTATTTTGGAGGGTGAAGTTGAGCGCATCGGAAAAGAGTCCATTCCCGGGGTAAAGCGTTGCCGATTGGAATGTACTCGGAAGACCCTGGATATTGAGCGCAGGGCTGTTCATTATCGCGTTCCAGTCGGCATGTGGTTCCAAGAAGCCTTGAGAGTTCTGTTCGGCAAAGAGTTCCAGATATTCGATCACGTCGACCCCGTTGATATGGGTCACAGGCGACGCTTTGTATTCGTTGATTGCCCAAGCCTCGTACAGGTCCTGATCCAGGTAGATCTCCGGGGCTTGCTTGCCGTCAATCGACGCACTTACAAGACCAAATGAGGCGACGAAAGAGAATGCTGACAAAGCTCCGGCATTGAGAATGACGTGCGTGTCACGAAGCTGGTTTATCAAGAGCTGAATCTGTGCTTCAAACTCATATTGGTTGTGGTAAACAGCCGCAGTCACGTTCTGCTTTATCTCGTCTAAAGCTTTGTCGACGTCGAATGGTGCTCGTTGGTAGCCCGCGGGTGGCTCTTTGAGATATCCCAGTGTAGACTGGAACTGTAAAGTCATGTTGTAGTAATCGAGAAAGCGCATTGCGACGGCTGAGTTGAAAGGGATACTCTGCAAGCACTCGTACACCCATGACGCCTGGAAGAGTGTATAATCTTTGCCATTGATTAGTCGAGGTGTTCTTCCCAATCGTATAACGTAGTACTGACCGTTGTTTACAGCGACAATGATGTCTCCACATGCAGTAGATACAGCTTCCGAAGAAGCTGTAGGAGGCTCAACTTGCCGAGGGGCGAAAGAGCCCTTCAGAGGGTTTGCCCATCCGTATGCCAATAGGCACGATATCGCCAGGAGCTTAACGAGAGACATGACGCGTGACTAAGAATCAGTAACAAAAGCGGGTTGTCGCGTCAGTAGCTAGAGTGGGTCTCCTCGACTTTTTAACTTGGGTGATCACATCTTGTGTAACGCTGTGAGGCCCATTGGCAGGGATCTGAACTTGCGGCGATGGTTTGCGCAGCCTCAACGGGGACTCCATAAAATTGGAATAGTACAGGAACGGTAAGCAGCCAGCAACTGCTATCGAATGAATGAGCACTTGCTCCTGCCAAGGCACGAAGCCACCAATTGCCACGGGCATAGTGAACGGAAAACTGCAGGGGTTAGCCAGATCATGAGATAATTTAAGCCTTTCCCGGGATTGCGCTAGAGGCTTGTCAGTCGATTTGTCGGTTGATGCGTGAAGTACAAAGCAGTCATCTTGCATATCAGCCGCACTCGGCCCCCAGACCACCTTTTAGCCCGTCCCACGCGGTAAAAGGAGTCGGTAGGCTGTAAAGAGATACTGATTCCTGATTCGATATATCCGAGGTCGATGGGAAGCTGGCTACGAGTTTGCATAGCCCTGTCGCTAGCTGAAGGCCCAAACGGTAGATGAAAGCTGGGTAATAGAAGCCCCTCGTCCGCGCTGGAGTTCGACAAGCAGACAAAGCCTAGATCGGCACCTGTAGAGATGATCGTGAGCGCAGCAGAGGCGCACGTTTAGTGCGACGAAAGTTCGTCCAGTCGTGAGCGGAACTGTCTCGGACGGGAGAGGGTTGAAGAAGGCAAAAGTGGACAGTAGAGAAGATGCAGCGAGTTCGCGAACTAGGCGGATGTTTGCCTCGAACAAGAAAGTGCTGTATACAGTCGACCAACGCAGCGTTACATTCGTACGACGTGCCGGCTGACACACAGGTTGTGTGGAGGTGGAGGACGATGTGTATTTGTGGATTACGCGCCGGGCTGATTGACCGGTTGCATGACATAAGCCAAATGCACGGACATAGATGGAGCGGGGGCCGACCCACTGGAACCCGTCGTTCGTCCTGACCCCCAAAAGCAACAGCTGCAGCCTTCAAACAACAGTATCAATGGATGGCAATTTCCTTGCGAATGCATCTGCAATTTCGTGGCGCCTACGACAATGTCGGACGCCGCAGCTGGAGACATTCCAGATCCTTTTGCGCCACAAACTCACGTACCACACTCAGCCTTGAGCCGAAACACGCTACATCGTAGCGGATATGATCCCACCTTATTCGACGAGTTTTTTGCGTCCCCAGCCTACTGTGCATGGTCTTCAGGTAGTAGGTCGTGGCAACTTCACTGCTACGGAGAGCCTGGGTGTGGTAAAGTAAGCTCTCAGGGATCTGACAGAGGACTTTGCTTACCGTGACAGACGACTGTAGCTGCTTTCGCTGCCAATCGTCTGCCATCTGGCATAAACGGGATCAAAACTGCTGTCGCATCTGTATCCATCACTCAACATGTGTGGTCGACATCATTGGCGTTCATCGAGGATCTTTTTCAGTTCATATACTCAGAATTCGGCAATGAACCCAACGCGGAGTATGAAGCATATCAGCGCGCATGTCGCTGCGGTGATCCTGGAACCGAGCGCATTGGGAAGCTGATCGGAGCTTTACAGAGCTTTGCCTCCGGTGCTTGCAAGTTCCTCATTCTCGACGGATACGATCGCATCAACGAAGCATTACAGTCGATTGTCGATACACACTTATCCGCTCTGGAACCCAGCGGCTTCAAGGTGATGATCACGCGAAGGGTTCCAGCGTTCTCTATGTCCATCAATCCATATTGCGACGAATGCAAGCAGGACTATCTGGAGCTCTGGTGGGAATGTTCACATTGCAACGAGTTCGATCTGTGTTATGACTGTGAAAAGAAGAAACATCTGGAAGAACCTCACATGTGCCCAGTGAATGGTTTCAGAGAACCCTATCAGCATGTCAGCATTAAGTTGGGCCACTTCAAGATGGAGCGCTTGCTCGAAGAAAGACTGAGTATGCATTATCGCGATATTCACTCCGAGAACACGATTCGCATCATTAAGTATATTGGCCCAAAAGCTGGTGGCAACATAACACTTGCGTTGTTATATCTGGAAGACATCTTTACCCGCGACCAGATCGCTGCTTTCAGCATAGATCGAGTTGACGACAGGCTGCCCAGGGACGTCATTGCTTATTTTGACACCGAGATGAACTTCATCGAACGCAAAATGGAACCCGAGCGCCTGCCTCCGATATATGCAATCGGTGCCGCTGCAGATCATTCACACGGAATCTCTCTGGAAGCACTAGAACAGTGTATACGCCTTGCCCAGATCACTTGTTCAAGTTTAGATTATCCCAGGTCTGTTGAAGACGTCTTCACCGCAGCAAATGGATGGCTTACAGATCCACGCACTGGAGACCGAAAGGTGGATATATGCTGCAAACCCGCCTTCTCTATATACGTGAAAGAGAAGTACAATGATTCGCTAGAACGGGCGAGGCACCATGTCAAATCTACGGCAAGAGAAAGGTCTGGTGCTACTCCATTACATCAGTTCCAAGAGACATCCTCATCGGACAAGACACCTGATCTCTTAGGAAGCACATTCGACACATTAGCAAGCGACAGGCCTCCCCCGACACCGCTCATGAGCCTCGAAGATGGCCTTCGTATCCGTGAGCTGGAAGGCACCTTTGGCCAGGCATCATTCCTCGACAAGGGCGAAGGGCTAGTCCAATCGCCGCCTAGAATCAACAGCGCTGAATATGTACCGCAGGCGTTTCAGGGCATATCTCCGCGCCATAAGCCTGAAGGAAAAGTCACGCAACCAAAGCTAGCTCCAGCGCAGTCGCCAGTGAGACTGTGCGACTTTTGCGTCAGCAATGTATTAGATTGTGATGCTTCGTTCGGACAACATCGTCTCTCAATTGATGGTACAAAAAGTGCTACGTATCAATGCACAATTTGCAGCTCGCTCTACGCCAACGTGGAAGATTTTGTATTGAATGCCGAAAACTGGCCATTGTATCACTGGACCCTACGAGCACTACCACGCGGCAGAGAGTTAAAAGGATCAATGATGTTACGGTTTCGATCTTCTCATCCGAAACTCACAACCAAGGCTTTCCGATTACTACCAGGAACCGATCTGCATGTGCCTGTTCCTGAGGATTTACAGGGAACAACCGATCCAGAACGCAGTGGCGGGCATCAAATCAACAGATGGATGGACACTTGTATGCGCAATCATCAAGACTGCAGCAAAGCCTGGCACGACCAGCGATCCAAGCTCTCCTTCCTACCGACGCGACTTCTGGATGTTGACACTGGAGATGACAACACCATCCGCTTGGTAGATACCAAAATAACGAAAGTCAAGGGTCCTTATTGCACGTTGAGCCATGCATGGGGACCACAAGAGAAGCCGTTCCTCACTACCACCGTGTGGAACATGGCGAAGCATCTGATCACAGGCATCACCCTAGACGAGCTTCCACGTAACTTCCAACACGCAATATACGTGACCCGCTTCTTGAAGGTGCGGTATATCTGGATTGATAGTCTCGCGATCGTGCAGAAACCCTTTGGTGACTTTGCAAAAGAGGCCGATCTCATGCACAAGGTGTATCGATACTCTCACTGCAATATCGTTGCAGCGGACTCGAGGAATGCGCACGGCGGTCTTTTCAAGACGCGAAACCCTCACGAAATCCTGCCGGTCACATACCAGGGGACCAATGCGCGTCATCATTTGGGGGAGAAGAGTTGGACGATTGTCCCGGCGGATCTTTGGGAGATGGAACTTCTGAGCTCCGTCATATACGGCCGCGCCTGGGTCTTCCAAGGTAAGCAGAGCCCATCGCCGCTCCATCCATTCTCCGCCACCAAGCTATCTCAACTCACCAGAAACTGACTCTGAGCAATTTGCAGAACGCATTCTTTCTCCTCGCATCCTCCACTTCACAAAGCATCAAATATTTTGGGACTGTGCTACGCTCTCAGCCTGCGAGGTATTCCCGAAAGGTCTTCCCTTCCCTCTCGATCACAAAGCGAGCACGGATCGACACTGGAGAGGACGGCTAGCTAGAAACACCGTCTCGTCAAACGCGTTGGTCGGTGTCAACGACAACGAAAGCTCCTACACTTTCTGGATGTCCGCAGTACAAAACTATACGGAGTGCGATCTGACTAATCAATGTGACAAGACAATAGCGATCTGGAGTATCGCGAAGTTGCTACGCGATTTCATGAACGAACAATACGCTGCGGGCATGTGGTCTGAGGCGCTGGAGGAGCAATTGGCTTGGAGAGTGCGGGATACCAAAGCATGCAAGAGGATGCCAGAGCTCGATGCCAATATCCCCAGCTGGTCATGGGCAAGTATCAAGGGTGCTGTTGTGCCTCAACACCGACTGGCGATACGATCATACCAGATCACAGATCACGATGGAGCTGTCATCGATTTTGCGGTCAAAGAAGAAACCAGGCAAGGCGATAAGGAGCCTATATTAGAGAGCAGAATATTGGCACTGAAGACCCACATCAACATTGGGCGACTGGTAATAGTGCCAGAAGACCAACACCGTCTCCGGTTCTGGAGCGAGATCTGTACAGAAACCGTTGAACTAGATGTCTTCCTCGACACTCCACTAGCCACCTCAGGCATCGACCCAGAACACTGCGCATTCATCATCCTCGCCGCATCCGCCACTCCAAACATCGCCAACACCCCTCAAGCGCGCCAGACGTACTCCGGCGTTGGTCTCCTCCTCATCAAACACTCTTTCTGGATCGCCAGGCAGAGATGGCTGTACCAAGACTACAAAAGCGCACTAGCAGGCGTAGAACCGTCTCGAGAACAAAGATGGCGCCTAGATGCCTTCGAGAAACTCATGTTGCAGCAGTCAGAGAGAATCATGGAAATGGGAGGAATGATTGAAAGCGTGTATCGGCGGATGGGAGCGCTGCATTTCCGGGATATGGATGAGCGGGCTTTCAATTCCTTGACGAATAACCGGCATCGGGAGGATATTTGGTTGGAGTGAATTGAAAATCTCGGTATGAGTATGCACAAGTTTCCATTGCTTTCCACGAATTGCAAAAGAAGTGGGTATATAATACACGTATGCGCGCCTCTCCCAGCGCAGACAGTCCTCACTTTTGAGGGTGATGTAACCCAACCACGCTACCTATACATGTCTAAGCCAAAGCCTAGATCCCATCTCTTCATCCCCTCATCCATCACAAGAGACAAGCCCCTCCTCCACATAACCAGATAAATCATTCCACCAAGTGTCATCCAACCAAATCCTCCAGGTGAACGCGTAAAAAACAAAGAGAGCGAAAGGACGTCCGAGGCCAGCCATGCGGGTGGGGGGTATCTCGAAACCAAGCTAAAGAGCGAACGTAGAAAACAGAAAAATGGTCGTTAAACATCCCCCTCACTCACACACATCGAAGTGGAGGAGAGAACGTCGTGCGTATGAATGTAAGAGTTGTAAAAGGAAAGAATGGGGGTTGGGCGGCCTCAGGCACAAAGATGACAGATGGAGAGTAGAAGTGAACGCCGTGAGATGCATGAATGTGGTGATTCCAAACGTTGTATGAGATAAAGCGAAATGAAGGAGATCAGTAGTTGTAGCTGTTGTCGTAGCCACGAGGCGCAGTGGGGGTGTAACTGCGTTGTTGCTGTTGTTGTTGGGGTCCAGAGACGGGTGTGTAGCTGCGTTGGGGGCCGGGACCCTGAGGTGTGTAGCTACGGGCAGGAGGTCCCTGAGTCCAACCTGGTTGTTGGATCGGTGCTGTTGCACTACGCTGTTGTTGCTGAGGTGGAGCTGAGCCGTTCATGCCTCGATTGGGGAAAGGTTGCGAGGCTTCGCGACGCTGGATTGCTGACTGCAGTGATGCTGGGACACCAGCTCGGGGTGGTGCAGTACCAGACCGTGGAGGCGCGGTACCTGAGCGTGGTTGAGATGGTAGGCCCATTGGCTGCGATGGGGCGGGCGAGCCGGCTCTTAACAAGCTGGGCATTTGAGGTGGCTGGTAGTCGGCTTGTCCATTCGAGTCCGAGAAGTAGTGCTGCGAAATGTCTTCTGTGGGGTTGACATCGACAGGTGACAGCTCATACTCCGGGCCCATCTGAGGACCCCGGCTGTCGTAAGGGCTGAACTCTTGGTACGGTCGGTTGGGGTGAGCTTGTTGTGGTGTATTCCGCGCATCGAGGGGAGTGATGAGTTGAGGATCGTTCTCGTATGGCCCGTTGTTGTAGCTTGTATCCACAGGGGGCATGGGCCCACGTGGTGGGAGGGGGGACGCCCTGCCCTGTGACATTGGTGTGAAAGGTCGGTCGGACTGGTATGGCAGGTTGTCTTGCTGGCCAAAGTACCCAGTGCCGTTACGGTCTAGAGGTGGCATTTGGGGTGCAGGCGACGACCTGCCCATACCTCCTGCCTGGTTCAGCATCGGCGCGTTTGAAGCGAAGCTGGCTGTCGAGAAGTTTGTGAATTGTGCGTCCCGCTCTGGCATACCAGGTCGCTCGTCTAGCGTGGGCAGAGACGGCTTGTTCATCAAGTTTCGGCCCGAGTTCATGGTGTTGAAGGTGTTCGAGGTGTTCGATCGCTCCGGGTTTGTTCTGTATGAAGGTGTGTTTGCGAGGGTATACGGGGGCAGTGTCGCGGTGGTTTGCATCGTATCGGATCGTTGCAGCGAGAAGACAGTCGATGTATCGTCATCGTCGCCTTCGAGCTTGGGTAGCGTAGGACGGGACTTGGAAGCGTCAAATTCGCCTTTCTTGATGGCCCTCTCCTCCTCCCGCTTCAGCTGCTGGTTCTGCTTCTCGATGGCCTTCTTGATCTTCTTGCCCACAATACGCTCCAGACGGGTCTCGACCTTGCGTCGGCAGTAGTTGGTAAGACTGCCATCAGCCTTGGGGATGTAGTGCCAGAGGAAGAAGAGGTACAGGATACCAGCGATGATAAGACCCAGCGCAGCGATGACCCAGATGACGAGAGAGAACAACATGGTGAAGTAGATGACTGTTTCCTGCTTGTTGCCGGTCTCGACCATGAGCTTGATGTTCATGAAGAACTGCTCGAAGTTGGAGCGATCTTCTGACGCGTGCTCGCCGACGGGGATGAGCTGCGCTTGCATGACGGCGTATAGAGTCATGGCATTGAGGGCAATGCGGGGCCCCTGGGCGACAATAATGAGAAGGGCGCTCTTGAACTGGAAGTATACGAAGAGTGCGATGTAGTTGGCACCCTTCTTACTCTTGGTCAACTCGGCGAAGACCAAGAAGCGGCGCCAGCCCTGGCCAGTCTTTGTGATGCGCATACTCTGCAGTATAGCAGCCAATGGCTCGAGGTAGCATTCGGTAACACTTCCTGTTCGCATGACGCGCAGGGCCCGGATCCATCGGTATGCGAGAAAGACGTAGGAGACGATGATAGTGATGGCGAAGATCCATTTAGCAATGTCGAAAGGCACGGTAGGCTTGACCTGGCTGGTCCATTTGTCGAATGCGAGGAGGTTGACGGCGGTGAAGGCATCGGCGGCGTAGACGGCGCATGAGATGACGACCAGAATCCACAACCAGGCATACGAGAAGGGTGCGAGGCAAGATGTAGACTTGAAGTCGGACAAGTTCTAAGGCAATTAGCGATGCGCTTCCATATTCGCGCTCAAGTGCTTACGATGTAAGTCCACTTCTGCTCCTCCGTCACCGTAGTTCCCTTTTCGCGGTCTCCGCAGCACCCCATGTTGGCGATTCGGTATTAGTCGGTATGTACGTATGTGTGTATGTAAGTATCCGCTCAGCGGTACGGTGGCCTGCAGTCCAGCTGTTCGTCTAAGGAGTGACTTGGTCGCTAGGACATGGGTTGGTTGTTGTAGCCAAAAGGAGGAGGCAATTTCGGTTGTCGAGTGAGTATTCGCGATATGGTGGTGACAGGCCGGCTGCTCACCACTAGCGAGCGAGGGAAAGAGCGACAGGGGCGGTAGTTTTGTTAAGCAGACGGAGGATTGCGGCGGGTGGCCGGGGACGGGGGGCTTTCCAAAAAGGTGGGTGTTCGGAATGCTACCAGAGTGCCGTGCGCATGACAAGAGACGTGTGCGCGTGGGTGGAGCGTTGCGTGTTTGAGATGCGCAAGGCTTGAACAGCGGTGACAGCGGAAGAGGCGTGTCCGATGGCTGCGTACGTATATGTATAGCGACAACAGTAGTATTGTTGTTGCTCGGGCTATTGTTGCTGGCTTTGCGCCGTGGTGAATGCGACGGCTATAGTTGTGGTGAACGAGTGGGTACGGGCGTCAGGGAGCGGCAGGCGCGAGGGGGTGTCGAGCGGCAGTCGCAAGGTGAACACAACACGAATGGAGTACAAGATACTATGGCGCGAGCAAGTGAGTGAATCGCAGCGCAGGCGTCTACGTTTGTCAATTGAGCACAAAACGGCCACGAGTGGTGTCGAGGGAGCGTCAACAGGTGATACTCGGTCGCGTTCGAGGGCAGCGGCTGGCGGAGGGTTGAGGCTTGTCTGCCATTGGCCGGCGCCACATCCGTCCTTGTTTGGCCCCATGCTTCACCTTGCCCAAGATAGCAGCCCGCTAGCCTGTTCCTCTCATCATGCGCCGCAATCGCCGTGGGGTAAATTGCGATTCCATCTAACAAAGACCCTATCACCGCTTTGGCCGCCTCTACTTCGCCATGTAGACAAGAGCCCCACTGCGAACTTGACCTCCAGAGAGCCTTCTCGCACCACCTGTGGCTGTGGCACAGGCGGTTGCAACAAAAGCGTATCATCCTGCTCTTCGGCGTGTTATGCCACACTCCCTGTCCGAGGCATGCATGCAAAGCTTCCAAAAGGGCCTTCGGCCTTGCCGGCAAGTTCCCACATAACGTCACGCGCAGAAGGACCGGTTACTTGGGAAAGCATCGGGAACATCGGCTGCCTCAGCCTTGAAGCCTCAGCCATCTCGAAACGAAACACGCGTGATGCGCATCATTGGGCTTCCTGACCAGGCAGGAGCCTTCGTCATGTCTGCATTGACGTCGCCTTGCTGGGTACAGATCGACGGGCGATGGAGAGTGCCGATGCATCCGACTCCACTCGGCAGTCGAACTCTCCTTCAACGTGTATGCGAGCCCAAAACAGGAAGTGGAAGGTTCATGCACAGACAACCAGTCAGCATTGATGTAATTGCTTACTCCCCTAGCTGTCGGGAATAAGATCCCAGAGTATTGCAGGTTCAAACTGCCCTACCATTCTCCATGATTCATCTTCGGGTCTGAGTACCACATACACTAGGGCCTTTGCCCCCTCCGCTTGATCATAAGATCGCAGCCGTAGCTTTCCAGCCCTCAAAGGAACGTCGTCGACTGATGTGTCATCGATTTCGGCCCAACGCGCATATCCACTGTCATATGTCGAAGGCTTGGTCCCCTTCAATAATGGAAGGTATGAGAGAGAGGTCAGTATCTTGAAGCCTACTGAGTTGGAACTGGGGTGCATAAAACGACCGTGGAATAAATAATCTTCGGACACTCCCCACGCATTCATCTTGATGGAAATCCGGTCTCGATAGACGTTGTGCAAGTGCTCTAGCATATTGGTGTAGTCCTCGGCATTATAGATGGTACCATAGAAAAACATTGAGAGTTTGTGAAGGTTTGGTAGACAGTTGTGGAAGGCCTTGCTTGCACTCTCTGATCTTTCGGAATGAGTAGGGGACGGAATCATATGGAGCTCTGATAGTGATGTTCCATACCAGGAGAACTTCCGGGTGCCGACAAAGTAATGTAAAGAGCGAATGAGAGCCATGTTGAACCGGGATCGCTCCCTACAAAGTTCGACTAGCACGGTGGTATCGAGGAAGACAAACGTGTTTTCCTGATAAAGCATCGTCATCGTTTCCAGATATCTGATACGTCAGTCCGCGAGCTTCCGCAAGGTCGCTCTGTCTGATAACTCACGTGGTCGTGCAAGTTAGAGGCAAAGATATGGCGCCTAATTCCGCTTTCGACATGGCTATGCTGGTCATGATAGAGACAGTCGCATTGGCGACACCCGTGGTGCCATGGCTGTCGAAGACACTAGACGTGATTTTGCCCCGCTTTCGATAGAGCACGATGAACTGTCCCGTCATGGCATACTCCCAGATCATGATCCGGATCTCAGCTGGTAGACTGAGAAGACGGCTCTTCTCCTGTGTGGGACGTTTGCGAGCACGCAGCTTGAAAGGTTTGTACTTTCGCACCTTCTCAGCCTCTCTTTTCCGCCGTTTTTCTTCCATCATTTCACCCAGCTCTTCACAGATTGTGTTTGCGAGTCGAATCTTCTTGTCTAGAAAGCCCCTAATGCTTTGTGTCCAGTGCGCAATCCATGAATGCGCGCGATATTCTTGTTCTTCTCTCAGGCTTGGTACAACGCCCCCGTCCGACGCGTGGTGAAATTGCATGTTGATTAGTAGGCGCAGGCAGTGGCATCTGGATTGGACGTCGGATTGAAAGTACCGTCCCGCCCCATTGTCTTGGAGTGGGTAAAAATCAGAAGCGACGATGTTGCAGAGTTCACACGTCCGCATGCGGCACGGTTGAGCCCTGAAGTCCTGCAGGCAGCAACATGTAACTCGCTGTGACTGGACAGCCCGCCAGCTGACCGCACTTGCCACATTCTGGACGGCAGCTTCCAAATTGTCGCATGCACAACCGTCCCATCGCATCTTCATTATGCAGATTGTCAACATTAACAATCGGCCGAGGAGGCTGGGTAAGGCAGCTCAATGGCGCAGAGGCGCCAGATTCTTCGTCTGTCTTCCGTGGAATCTTGCGGCTTGCCTTTGCGTTCGCCTTTGGCCGAGCACCCCTCCCAGTGTCACTCCGGAGAAAGTGACCCCAGAGCCTCCATACATCCCGCTATTGCTGCGCGACGGCGCAGCAAGCGCTCAGTCGCAGAGCAAGTTCTTGAGTCTGCCCGCTGAGCTACGTTCTATCATTTGGAAACATCTGTTAGGCGGAAAACACGTCGCGTTGCACTACAGGAACGGCAAATTTGCCTACGAGTTCCTGGAGGATGAGGACCCTTTGGAGGTTGGAAACATTACACCGGCAGTCATCCAGGCAGTCCACAATAACTATGCTGCAAACCTGCACGGCAAGCGTGAGAGAACCAACGTATTGGCGGTGCTCCAATCATGCCAGCTAGTGTAAGAGAGACATGCGCGTGCGAGAATCCAGCCTTGCAACTAACAAAGCTCCATCTAGTTACCGAGAAACCATCGATATGCTCTACGAATCGAACACTTTTGCGATGCTTCACAACACTGTTCTGATTGACTTCCGTCGGGCCGCCCTTGCATCGCATCTATCCAAAATTCGCTCGTTGCACATTCACTTCCAGTTCCGCGAACTTTGCCAGCATGGATCCTTATATGCCGGGGCAGACGACTTACTATCTCCATGGAGCATTGAGACTTTCAGTACATCAAGCCCTAGTATCGCCAGAGCCATCCAAAGTCTTCCGATCCTCGAACGCCTTTCCGTGTTCATCCAAGGTCCCTTGACGACAGAAACCACATATCGACGAATCTGTTGGTCATTGAGGTCCATCCGACATGATATGAAAAGTTTGAACTTTATGATGGTCAGGTTCCCGAGACCCTTTCCCGATCACGGCTACCAAATGCGAACTCAATGGCGCAATCAAGATCCCCGTGATTTGGTGGAGGAAGTCCTGCGAAGAGAAGAAGAGCTCAACGGATTCCGCATCGTCCAGCCGACTGTAGAACTCGCACAAGACGTGTATGATATGGCGGACTCGGATATCGAGAGCGAATGGCGCGTAGGGAATATATACATGAAGTGTAACGGTGTTGAGAAAGGATTCGCGACACGAAGCTACGCTGTACTTCGACCGGAGAAAGAGACCGAAACCTACAAGCCTGATCTTGAAGCTCAGCCCAATTGCTATCTCAAGTTACCGAGGATTCCGGTCATCGAGCATGAGGATCCGGATGACTTGTATGGGTCTGGGTATCGAGCGCTCAATTGGCCTCCGACACTGGACGGGCAGGCTTGATGGTGCGCGACGCGTGCGTGGGTTGGGTAGTGCTCAAAGCTGAATAGGCTGTGTCACACATAGTGCTTACACGCACGAGAGAAAGCTTGACAAGACGCCATAGGTGACGAAGCTTTACGCTCCACGCTTGTCGCATATTTAGCAGGGTCAATACCAGCGTAAAAGACTTGGTATACTGAGTTGGGAAGTCGGTGAGACAGAATCGATTCCAGCACTAATGGCTTGGAGCGGTAGAGTTCGGCGGCGTGGCTTGGGCCGAGTTTGAGCCGCGTCGCAATGGCCAAGTAGCCGTCGGGTATATCACCATGCTTAGTAAGGCAATGCAAGAATGGCTTTCAATCTGCTAAGGCATGCTGCGTGAAGCTCAGTAAGTAGCGAACAAGTACAAACGCTTAGGTATTTCGAAGTTCAGGCGAAGAAGCTCCTGGCTATATAGCGTACAGCATGACGGATGTATGCAGATCATGAGAAGGATTGCTGATGTTACTCGGCTATCTCTGTCAGCACATGTCTAAGCTTCCCGGCGAGCTCCTGACTGGCTCAACCAAAGTACAGTAAACCATCGTTCAGGTACGCGCGCCCTCAACAACACACTCGACTACCCGACGCCTATCGGTGAATGCGACAACGTGCGTCTTACAAATCAGGACGCAGCGGATGATGGACTGCTAGTGACGAGCCATGCCGAACGAGGAAGGCGGGGCGCCAAAGATGCCCCGCCGCTGGGGTTCTATGGTAACAATGTCCAAACATGCACGTCATGCCGGTACTTTCGAGAAGAATGGCATGAGCGTATAAAGATGCCATTGTCCACCCACCCTCCACTTTCCATATCCATTGAGCTTCCGACTCTTGACACAATACTCTTCACACTTCACCCATCCAATTCTACATATCAACAACCGCCATAATGGGAATCGAGGCTGATACCGACAAGCCGCACTCGCATCATGCGATCGCAAAGGATATCCCCGAGGATAAGAACAGCGAACAGGTTCCCAAGCAGGATGAGCTGAGGAACAAGGCCGCTCCTGGTGTATGCATACATCCAAACCCCATGCCTTCACCTAGCTAACCCATCCAGATCCCCTACTTCACTCCCGCACAAGAGCCCGTCGCCGGAACCGCCCTTGGCATGCTCGACGGCAGCTCCAAGATTCCCAAGCTCTTCCAGCCCCTCAAGCTCCGCGGCATGACGATCCAGAACCGCCTCGCCCTCTCCCCCCTCTGCCAATACTCCGCCGAAGATGGTCACCAGACAAACTGGCACCTCACACACTTGGGCGGCATCATCCAGCGCGGTCCTGGTCTGACATTCGTCGAGGCCACCGCCGTACAAGCTGAAGGAAGGATCACACCCGAAGACTGCGGTCTCTGGAAAGACTCGCAAAAGGAGCCGCTGCGCAAGATCGTAGAGTTCGCGCACTCTCAAGGCCAGCACATCGGCATTCAACTCGCACACGCTGGCCGCAAAGCCAGCACCGTCGCCCCGTGGCTCAGCAAAGGCGACATCGCAACCAAGGAACTAAACGGCTGGCCCGACAACGTCTACGCGCCCTCCGCCATCGCCTTCAACGACAAGCACTGCACGCCCAAAGAGATGACAAAACAAGACATCGAAGCCTTCAAGCAAGCCTTCGTCGACGCCGTCAAGCGCGCAGTAGACATCGGTTTCGACACCATCGAAATCCACAACGCACACGGCTACCTGCTGCACACCTTCCTCTCCCCCGCCTCCAACCACCGCACAGACGAATACGGCGGCTCCTTCGAGAACCGCACGCGCCTCACCCTTGAGCTCGTCGACTTGACCCGCAAGACGATTCCCAAAGATATGCCGCTCGTCCTGCGTATCAGCGCCACAGACTGGCTTGACGAAGCCGGCATCGAAGGCTGGACAGTCGACCAGACCGTCAAGCTCGCCGAGATACTGGCTGAGCGCGGCGTAGACCTACTCGACGTCTCATCCGGTGGTCTCCACGAGAAACAGCATATTCACGGTGGACCAGGCTACCAAGAGCCGTTCGCTAAGGCAGTCAAGGACAAGGTGGGAGACAAGATGGCGGTCGGCACCGTGGGCAGCATCACCGATGGCAAGCAAGCAAACGGGTATCTGGAGAACGATAACCTCGACGTCGCGTTCATCGGTCGCATGTTCCAGAAGAACCCTGGTTTCGTCTGGCAGTGTGCGGATGATCTTGGTGTTGAGGGTAGATGGGCGAACCAGATCCGATGGGGTTTCGGAGGTCGTGGCAAGAAGTAAGTCTTGCTTCAATCGTGTTTTATCGGGGATGAAGTGCGTTTGTGGAAGATCGTGGGTTTGTTTACGTTGATGATGGATATGTTCAGAATATAGAAGGAATCTAATAGATGTTTTACTAGGGATCAAGTTGTCGATAAGAAGGCGTTTTCGAATGAAGCTGCTTTCCAGATGAACAAGAGTAAGTAAAGTAGGACAAGATCGGAGCTAAATCAGGAACAATGTATACCCTCCCTACCACCACAATATCTACAGAAAAACCGAACACCCCCTCATTACCAAACCATCACTCACTCACTCATTCTCCTCCCTCCCAAAAACCCTCTTCCACAACAAAAACGCCTCAAGCGTCTGACTCGGATACCTCAACACCCCCCTCTCATTCTTCTCGTTCAGTCTAGCCAACTCCTCCACCTTGAATCTAACCTCCCTCCCCCCCTCAACCACCACACTCTCCTCCTCCATATACGGATACACATCTGCCTGCGTCCCCGGTATTCGTCGATCGGCCGTCGCAGTCAGGATACCGACGAGCGTCTTAATACCCAGTAGCCCCTGCAGGTTGTCGCCGAGTTGGGGGAACACGTTGTTTAGAGCACTAGTGATGGAGCGGGACGTCCGTTGTATAGCACTAAACAGCACGCCACCGGGAGCATAGGCGAGCACGTCGCCGTAGATGTCGCCGCTTCCTGTGCGTGCACTCGGTGCTGCAGGCTCTTTTGGCAATGCTAACGAAGATTCGCCAAGCCGCGTGCTGAGAGACGAGATGTGTTGTTCGGTGTTAGGCATCAAGGGCGTAGTGGAGTCGTTGTCTATATCCCGTACTCCCTGTACTAACCACCGTAATACCGCATCGCTGAGCACCTCATTCGGATAGATGGTCCGCGAGAGCAGATTCGGCAACCAACCCAGCGCATCTTCGATCCAATTCGCGGGGCTCTGCCGCACGAAGCGGAAAGTCATGCGACCGACGTCGTAATGCGTACCTGGGAACCAGCGTTGGTTTACTACGGCTCTGTCCTTCTCCTCTTCGTCGTCTTCGTTGGGGTACACGAGGCACGGCTGGAAGATCCAGAGGCGGTCGTGTAGACAAGGGGCGTGATACACGTGTTGCACGACGCTTGAAACGGTTTGATCGAAGAACTCGAAGGGGGACCAGTCGAATCCTATTCCGGCATTCAGGCGCGGGATACCGAGTGCACCAACCGTGTCTATGATACCCAGGAACCGGATTGGCCGTTTGACCTGCCAGACTCTATCGCCTAGGCCTTTCCATCGTTGGCATTCCTCGCTTTTGGGGGCGTCGACAGGGAGGTTGCTGCGGTATGTGCGGAAGACTTCGTAGCAGAGGCGTTGGACTTCTGCGTCGGAGTATGATGGCAGGCGTTTTATTATACCGCAGTTGTTAATCATGCCCGCTACACAACGCACAGTGAAGGCGCCGCGACTGAATCCAAACAACCAGATCTCATGATCCGGCGTGTAGTTTTCGACGATGAAGCGGTATACGGCTATGCACTCGTCGCTGATGGTGGAGGCTGTTGCGCCGTCCCAGATATATTGCAGGAAAGTCTTGTTAAGACCTACGCCTTCCTGGTAGCCGGCGATGATGTCGGGGGAAGAGCTGTCGGTAGTTGTTGTCTTGTGCGGTTTGATGTGGTGGACCTTTGCGGCTGTCTTGTCGTCCGTGGAGTATTGTACTTCGCCAACCATGTTGGCGAGTTGGCGGATGTTGCTTGGAGGCGCGTCTTCGACTTGGGTTTCGCGACCTACCCATGTTCCGTCGCAGAAGATGGCTAGGCGTTTGCTGGGTCTCGTCGGAGTTGTGGAAGGCATGGTAAGAAGCTGGGAAAGAAACTTTGCGCGCAAGGCAGGCTCAGAAGATGAACGAAACGTGAATTGGTAAACCAAAGAAGCGCGTAGAGACTTGAGAGAAACGACGCGGTCGCGCGTGGATAAATTGCAGTCCTCCCCGTCTTACTTGCTTATCTCTAGGCGTTTGTAGGCTGAAGAACCGTCGATCAGAGGCTGAACTCGCCCAGAACTCAGCTGTGGTTGCCTTCTTTATCGAGTCTTTGGCGGTCTGCGCACCAGGGCTGAGCGCGTGCCAACCTTGGAATCTGTTCAGCCTTACGTCGGTGTCACAAGCACAACATCAACCGGCGCATGCGACAGCGGAAAGTTCCGAAACAATGAGAGGAACGATGTAGTAACAGCTGATCAATAAAAAATGTGGCTTTGGGTGTGGCTGAGAAGGATTGCAGACCAGACCTGGAGAGGTTCTGGAATGGTGTTCCTGGTGTTCCTGGACGGCAGGTGTCACGACGTCATAGCCCAGACAGCAAAAAAGGTAGCCCAAATGGCAAAAAAGATCAAAAACATACAACAGCGGGGATTCGCTAGTGGTCACCCACCTAACTACTAATCCGCCGGTATCATGCTTGTATATGGCTGAGCGGACGGGAAGCCTAATTTTCATGATCCTATGGTCGTATGTGGAAGAACAGACCATTCTGGGCGTATATATCGTCGGTGCAACCCAGAGCGGTCCATGCTAGATGTCCAGCGCTATGCCAGACCCCAGCAGTGCGGCTGCTTGCTTGCGATATATACCAGGCGCAGTGGGTCTGAGATCAAACATCTGCGATGTTTATTGAAGACACCCTGACGCTTCTTTGCGCTAATGCGGCAGACGCGTTATGTGCCGGCTTCAGACGTACGGGCAGGACTCAAGTGTCGA